GATACATAGTGACTAATAATAAAATAGTTAAAAAAATCAAGATTATCTATGAGTCACAATTAATTTATAAGTTATTTAACCTAAACTAGTAATATTAATTGATTTAATGATGACTAATATGTATAATTGTGGCTTATAGTACATAGTTAATATGATTTACTCCCTATAAATCATATAATTAAAGATTATATGATATTGTACAATATTCCCATATTATTAAAGCTTTTATTATTGTTAAATAAATTTATTAAAAATTTTTGTTCAAGCTATTTTAGAAATAGTATTAGTATCTCTTGAGTGTACTAGTGTACTTGAAAGTTTAAATAAATTAACCACGCGTGATATACATAACAAGATTAATTAAATACTGTATACTATAGTATTATTTAATAACTAATTATTATAGAACCCGTGGGAACTAGGGAGATTATCGACTATCTGAGTTTATTTGAACTGTGTGACTGAGTTAAGATTAATTAAATACTTATACTATAGTATTAATTAATAAATAATTATTATAGACGCAAAAACTGATTAAAGTATCATTTTGGCGTTTTCATATGTAAACCTATGGGAACTAGGGAGACTATCAACTGTCTGAGTTTATTTGGACTGTGGGACTGAGTTAAGATTAACTAAATACTTATACTATAGTATTATTTAATAACTAATTATTATAGACACGAAAACTTCATTTTGGCGTTTCAAAAAATGAAAATTTGATAGTTACGTAAGATCTTAGAATTTAATATTCCCTAATTTGGAGTTGAAGTGTTGTACTATGCAGTCTATGCTTATGTTTCGGACTATAAAAAAAGTATACTGAAAGTTATATGGAAAATTTGCAGGTATAAGTATAACAAATTTATATACTGATTATAATATACTGCGTATCGATAAAATATGTTAGTTTGCATTATTACTCATATAAAGTCAACGATATTACAGTATCTAATCTCTAATCTCATATCAATATTTTATCTAATAAAAAAAACTATATCAAATTTTTGGAGAAACACGTAATATAACTCGCCAACACCCATTTTATTGCTTTTTAAATAGGTAAAGATCAATTTTTATTGTAGTATATAAAATATATAAGATATGATTATATGAAAATACTTTATATCGTTATATTATACCTCATGTCTCTTTACATCATCTAATAACAAAATATCAAAGTTTCTTCGGATCTACTCAGGTGGGATATGAAAGCAAAATGGATTTTTTTTTAATTTTAGAAACTGTTTTGTTGTTGAAATGATTAAAATACGCAGTAATAATTAAATAGAAAGTTATTTACTATAATCTTTATTTAAAGTAGTAGAATTATACAAAAATAATATCCTCTTTAATTTATTGGTTAAGAGAACTGCAATTACCCATAGCAGGTCTTTGACATTTATCAAATTAGAAATAATTCCAAGTTATTGATGAAATTAGTCAAGGAATTGAATTATAATTTATTCGGTGCCAATTTTATTTTTTTTTAAATTTATCCTTATTTCCACGTGATAATTGTATACTACGGATACATGTAAAAAACTATTTCTCACAATATTTCAGTACTGTGCAAAGACTCCGCCATACACCGCCAATATATAATATGATACAATTCAATTTAAAATACTTGCTTCTTTAAGTTATATTTTATTTAATAATTAAATTTATAATATTAAGTCATTCATTTTAATAATGAATATCATAATAATATTAATATGATAAAATATAGTATAAATAATAGATTATACAAAATATATAATAATTTTAGAAAAAAATAATCAAAATAGTAACATGATAGAAACGATTTTGAACTATTATAAAAATTATAAAAATATGATTCGACTGAACTTATCATTTCTAATCTTTTTGTGCATCTTTATTTCCTCTGTTAGCAGCATCTTTATACAATTCAATTGCATTTCTTTATCAATTTCGGTTCCAATCCCATTCTCATAACAGCATCCAAGTATTCAAAATGATTATAAGATTGAAACAATGCAACAACAAGTAAAGAAACTTTATATCAATGATGATGGTATGATGATAAAACAATTATTTAAATTCTTATAATAATTATTCTACAGTATTATATGATTTTTAATTTTATATTTGATAGACGAAGATGAAGTACATAACAGTCCTAACCTTCATTCAGAAGAACATGATGAATTGGAAATTCCTGATAGTAAGAATTATTTTTAAAATGTTTAAAATTTACCATAAATTACTAAATTTAAAGTAACATTTTTTTTTCTTCTAGATATTTAGATACGGATGAATTATATAAATTAGATAACATTATTATACCTGATTTTTTTTTCTTATCATAAATTATTTAAACACTATTGACTTATGAGATTTTCTTCAAAATTCTTAGTTTGTAATTTGAATAATTTATTTTCTTATTTTTATCTTTTCTTTCTCATTATATTATTATATTAGTAGCGTAAACTGAACGCGTTTTTATTAAATAAATTTTAAAGTATATTTTAAATATGAATTTTATAATATCTCATGCGTGATAATATGATTCATACAAGGGAAATATATAAATATAAAAAAAATAAATTCATTAAAGTCACGGTGATATGAATTGTTGCAAAACTTCTTTGCCGAAATTACCAGAATTATCATAATTCTGAATCCAAATCACATGATATACTATTTACCTTTTACAAACGCATCTTCGGTAATATAGCGCTCTCACTAACTCATATATTTATTTACATTTAGAAGAAATAGGGGTTCAAAATTAAACTTAGTTATATAATATTCGTTTATTTGTCTGTTGAAATAATTAATTTAGATGTAATTATTTTTTTAAAAAAATAATTACTATCTTCTTCATAGTTTTCTTATCTCCTTTTAGGCCCTTTTTTCTTTTCGTCTCTCTTTAGGTATG